CCCTCGGACTTGTGAAACTCTACTTTCTAAGACTTTGAACGTCCCCACAAGACTTAGAACGCGCCCCCCTCTAAGACTATAGATTAAACGCTCCCTCTCAGACTTAGAATCTTTCCAAGACTTAGGACGCCCCTCGAACATTTAGAATGCCCCCCTCGAAAGACCTTCGCAGTTCCCTGCGCGAAGACTTAGAACGCCCTCCTCGAAGACGTAACCGCCCCCTCTAAGACTTAGAACTCCCCCCCTCGAGACTTAGAATCCGTTCCAAACTTAGAAACGCCCCATTGAACATTTAGATGCCCCCGAGACATAGAATCCCCTTCTCGAAGACTTTGAACGCTTTCCTCGAAGACGTAGACCCCCCACCGAAAACTTAGAACGCACGCCCCCTCGAAGACTTAGAGCGTCCCCTCGAAGACATAGAACTTCCCCCTCTCGAAGACTTAATCGCCCCCCTCAAGTACTTAGAACGCCCGCTCGAAGTACGTAGAACGCCCCCTCGAAAGACTTAGAACTTCCCCCTTCGAAGACGTAGACACCCCCCCCGCGAAGACTTAGAACGCCCCCCTCGAAAACTTAGTACGCCCCTCGAAGATTTTACGGATGCCCCCCCCGGAGACTTATTACGCCCCCCCCCACCCCCTCGAAGACTTACAAAAACGCACCCCTCGAAGATTTTGATCGCCCCGTGAAGACTTAGAAGCCGCCACCCCTCGAAAACTAGAATCTCCTTCGAAACTTAGAATGTCCCCTCGCCCTTCGGCCCACGCCCCTCAGAAGACTTGAATGCCCCCTCGAAGACTAGAACGCCCCCTCTAGAATTAGAACGGCCCTCGAAGACTTAGAACGCCCCCTCGAAAACTAGAACGCCCCCGTCGAAGAGTTAAACGCCCCCTAGAAGACAAGACTTATAAGCCCCCTCGAAGTCTTATAATGTTCCCCCTTTCCCCCCAAAAGACTTCTAACGAACGCCCCCTCCCCTCGAACTTAGAACGCGGCCCCCCGAAGACTTAGAAACGCCCTCTCGAAGACTAGAACCCCTCTCGCGACTTCTAATCCTTTCAGACTTAGACGCCCCCCTCGCACATTTAAATATGCCCCCCCCTCGAAGACGTCGAATCCCTTCTCTAAGACTCAGAAACGCCCTCCACTAAGACGTAGAACTCCCCCCCCTCGAAGACTTGAAACGCCGCCCCCCTCGAAGACTTAGAACGTCCCCCTCGAAGACTAGAACGCCCCCCTCGAGGACGTAGGCGCCCTCCTCGAGACGTAGAAGCCCCCACTCGAAGACTAAGAACGCCCCCCCTCTAAGACATAGAACGGCGCCCCCTCGAATACTTGGAACGCCCCCCTTCGCAGACCTTAGAACGTCCCCTCGAAGACTTAGAACGCTCCACCCCCCCTCGAAGACCTTAGCACGCCCCTCGAGTCTTAGATGGCACCTTGCCCACAAGAGACTTAGAACGCGCCCCTGGAAGACTTAGCCCCCCCTCGAACATATTAGATGCCCCCCTCGGGACTAAGAATTCCCTTCTTCTCGAAGATTAGAACGCCCTCCTCGAAGACGTAGAAGGCCCCACTCGAAGACTTAGAACGCCACCCCAGCCCCGAAGACTAGAACGCCCCCTTCGAAGCACTTAATCGGCAAACCCTCGAATACATAGAACGGCCCCCCTCGAAGTACTTCTATCGCCCCCTCGAAGACGTAAACGGCCGCGGCCCCCCCGCTTGAAGACCTAGAACGCCCCCTCTAAGACTTAAAACGCCCCCTTCGAAGACTAGAACGCCCCCGCGAAGACTTAGAAACGCCCCCCCCTCGAATACTTTGCTGATCGCCGCCCCCCTCGAAGATTAGAATGCCCCCCCGAGACTTTGAAGCCCTCGCAAGACTACAATGTCCCCTCCCCCCTCCGACTTAGCACGCCCCCTCCGAAGACGTAGTACGCGCCCCGCCCCCCGAAGTCTTAGAACGCGCCAACCCTCCACCAGACTTAGAATCGACCCTCTCGAATGACTTAGATCGCCCCCTCGAAAGACTTTATAACGCCCCCGCTCGAAACTTAATAACGCCCCCCCTTCGAAGACTTGGAACGCCTACTTCGAAGACTTAGAACTCCCCACGAAACTTAGAACGCCCCCCTCTAAGGACTTAGAACGCTCCCTCGAAGACTTAGAATTTCCAGACTTAGGACGGCCCCCCCCCCTCGAAACATTTAGACTGCCCCCTCGAAGACTTCGAAATTCCCTCTCGAAGACTTATAACGTCCCTCCTCGAAGACGTATACCGCCCCCTCCTCGAAAGACTAGAACGGAACGCCCCCTCGAATACTTAGAATCCTTCTCCAACTTAGAACGCCCCATTGAACATTTAGCAATGCCCCCTTCGAAGACTAGATCCCTTCTCGACAGACTTTGAACGCTTTCCTCGAAGACGTAGAACGCCCGCCAACTTAGACGCCCCGCCCCCACTCGCAAACACTTAGAACGCCCCCCCTCGAAGACTTATAACGTCCCCCTCGAAAGACAATAGAACGCCCCCCTCGAAGACTTATATAAGCCCCCTTCGAAGACTTAGAACGCCCGCTCGAAGACTTATAACGCCCCCTCGAAGACTTAGAACGCCCCCCTTCGAAGACTAATAGAACGCCCCCGCGAAAACTTATAACGCCCCCCCTCGAAGACTTAGTACGCCCGCTCGAAGATTTTAGGATGCCCCCCTCGGAGGACTTATGACGCCCCCCTCGAAGACTTAAAACGGCACCCCTCGAAGATTTTGATCTCCCCGTCGAAGACTTAGAATGCCCCCTCGAACATTAGAATCCCTTCGAAGACTTAGAATGTCCCCATCGCCCCTCGAAGACTTAGAATGCCCCTCGAAGACTAAGAACGCCCCTCTTAGAATTAGAAACTTCCCCTCGAAGACTTGAACGCCCCCTCGAAAACTTAGAACGCCCCTTCGAAGAGTTAGAACGCCCCCTAAAACTTAGAACGCCTCCCTCGAATTCTAGAATGTCCCCTTGCCCCCAAGAAGACTTAGCAACCGCCCCCTCGATACTTAAGAACCCCCCACAAGATTAGACACACCCTCGCGAAGACTTAGACCGGCCGCTCGCAGACTTTAGAATCCTTTCCAAGACTTAGAACGCCGACCCCCATCGAACATTTAAATGCCCGCCTCGAGACTTGAATTCCCTTCTCGAAGACTCAGCACGCCTCCACGAAGACGTAGACGCCCCCTCGAAGACTTGAACGCCCCCCCTCGAGCCTTGCACGGCCCCCTCGAAGACTGAACGCCCCCCTCGAAGACTTAGAGCGCCCCTCCTCGAAGACGTAGAAGGCCCCCCACTCGAAGACTTAGAACGACGCGCGCGCCCTTAGAACGCCTTATAACGCCCCCCTCGAAACAAGAAAACGCCCCCCAACGCGCGCCCCCCTCGATAAACTTGGAACGACGCCCACGCGCCCCCCCTTCGAAGACTAGAACGTCCCCTCGAGACTCGAACGGCCCCCCTCGAAGACTTAGCACCGCCCCCCTCGAAGTCTTAGAAGTCCCTTGGCCCCACAAACGACTTAGAACGCCCAAGAAAAAGAGAGAACGCCCCCTGGCACTTAGACACCCCTCGAACATGAGAATCCCCCCTCGAGGACTAAAATTCCTTCTCGAAGACTTAGAACGCCCTCCCTCATACAGAGAATGCCCCCACTCGAAACTTAGAACCCAACCCTCGAAGACCTAGAACACTCCCCCCGCCCCCCTCGAAGACTCGAACGCCCCCCTCGAATACCTATACGGCCCCCTCGAAGACAGAGAACGCCCCCCTCGGACTAATCGCCCCCCTCGAAACTATAACGCCCCGCTCGATGACTTAGAACGCCCATCAAAACTTGGAACGCTGCGCCCCCTTCGAGACTTATAACGCCGCCCCCATCGAAGACTTAAGAATCCTTTTCCCAAGATTATGAGAACGGCCGCCTCGAAGTCTTAGAATGTCACCTTGCCCCCCCAGAAGACTTAGAACGCCCCCTGGAAGACTAGAATGCCCCCGCGCGAAGACTAGCACCGTCCTCCCTCGATACTTAGAACGCCCCCTCGAACATTTAGAATGCCCCCCGAAGACTTCGAATTCCCCGTCTCTAGCCTTAGAAAAAACTCCCCTCCTCGAAGACGTAAAGGCCCCCACTCGAAGACTTTAGAACGCCCCCTCGAAGACATAAGACGCCCCCCCCCTCGAAGACTTGCTAACGCCCCCCGTAGAAAGACTTAAACGTCCCCGCGAAGACTTAGACGTCCCCCTCGAAGACCTTAGCACCCCCCTCGCACATTTAGAATGCCCCCTCGAAGCTTCGAATTCCCTTTCTCGAAGACTTAGAACTCCCCCTCTAAACATAGAACGCCCCTCCTCGAAGACTTAGAAGTTCTTTCCAGACTACAACACCCCTCGAACATTTAGATGCCCGCCTCGAAGACATATATTCCTTCTCGAACACTTAGAACCCCTCCTCGAAGACGTAGAACGCCCCCACATGGAAGGAGCCGAAGACTTAGAACCCCAGAACCCCCCCTCGAAGACTAAACGTCCCCCTCTACGCCATAGAACCCCACTCGAACACTTGAACGCCCCCTTCGAAGACTTATAACTCCCCCCCTCGAGACTTAGAATCCTTTCCAAGACTGAGAACGCCCCCTCGAAATTGAATGCCCCCTCGAAGCGTCGAATTCCCTGTCGAAGACTTTAGAACGCCCTTCTGAAGACTAGAAACACGCCCCCCCTCGAAACTTGAAAAACGCCTCCCTCGAAGACTAAATCCTTTCCAGACTGAGAACGCGCCCCCTCGAACAGTTAAATGCCCCTCGAACATTTAGAAACATTTTAGAACCCCGCCTCGAGACTTATTAGAAACTCCCCTCGCGAAGACTAGAACGCCCACTCGAAGACTTAGACTCCTTTCGAGACTTATAACGCCCCCTCGAACTTTAGAATGCCCCTCGAAGACATAGAATGCCCTTCTTTCTCGAAGACTTAGAAGGCTTCCTCGAAGACGTAAGAACGCCCCCCTCGAAAAACTTAGAAACGGCCCCCTCGAAGGCTAGATTGCCCAGCCTCGAAGACTTTGATCCGCCACCTCGAAGAATTAGTTTGCCCACCCTCGAAGACTTAAATTTCTTCGAAGACTTACCATGTCCCCTCCCCCCCTCCAAGACTTAGAAAACGAAACGCCCCTCTAAGACTTAGAACGCCCCCGAAGTCCTTAGAACGCCACCCTCCAAGACTTGAACGACCTCTCGAGACTTAACGCCCCTCGAAGACTTGGAACGCCCCCTTCGAAGACTTAAAAACGCCCCACTCGAAACCTAGAACGCCCCTCGTATGACTTCGAACGCCCCCTTCGAAGACTTTTGAACGCCCCCCCGTCGAAGATTTAGATCACAGTCGAAGATTCAGAATTCCCCCTCGAAACTTAGATCCTTTGACGACTTTATATGTCCCCCTCGGCCACTTCGAAGACTTATAGATGCCCACTCGAAGACTTAGAATGCCCCCCTCGAAGATTGAGAATGCCCCCTTCGAAGACTTCGATCCTTTCCAAGACTTAAAAGGCTCCTCGAAACATTTAGAAAGCCCGCCTCGAAAATTTAGAATGCCCCCTCGAAGACTTAGAATTCCCTTCCGAAGACTTTGAATGCCCTCCTCGAGACAGACCTCCCCTCCAAACTTAGACGCCTCCCCCAAGACTTAGAACGCCCCCCCGAAGACCATAGAACGCCTTCCTCGAAGACGTAGAACTCCCCCTCGATACTTCACGAGAACGCCCCCTCGAAGACTTAGACGCACCGTCCAGCAACCCTCGAAGACCCAGAAACTAACTCCCCCCTTGAAGAATTAAGATCCCGCCCCTTCGAAACGTAGATCGCCCCGCTTGAAGACCTAGAACGCCCCCTCCTAAGCCTTAAAACGCCCTTCGAGACTTAGACCCCCCCGCGAAGACCCTTAGAACGCCCCCCTCCGAAGACTTGAATTCCTTTCCAAGACTTTAGAACCGCCCCACTCGAACATTTAGAATGCCCCCCCCTCGAAGACTTCGGCATTCCCTTTCTCGAAGACTTAGAACTGCCCTCCTCGCAGACGTAGACCGCCCCCCCTCGAGACTTAGAACGCCCCCTCGATGTCTTCGAATCCTTTCCAAGACGTATAACGCCCCATTGAACATTTAGATGCCCCCTCCGACGACATAGATTTCCCGTCTCGAAGACCTTTGAACGCCCTCCTCGAAGACGTAGAACGCCCCCACTCGACTACTTAGAACGCCCCCCCCCTCCCGCGAGACTTAGAACGTCCCCCTCGAAGACATAGAACGCCCCCCTCGAAGAACTTAGATCGCCCATCGAAGACTTAGAACGCCCCGCTCGCAGACTTAGAACGTCCCTCGAAGACCTTAGAACGCCCCCTTCGAAGGACGTAGAAGCCCCCTTCGAGACTTAGAACGCCTCCCGCGAAGACTTGCCACGCCCCCTTCGAAGATTAGGAGCATGGGGGGGGCCTCCCCCTCGAGTACTTCTGACGCCCCCCCCTCAAGGACGTAAAACGCCCCTCGAAAACGTAGAACGTGCCCCCTTCGAAGAGTTAGAACGCCCCCCTAGAAGACTTTAGAACCCCCCTCGAAGTCCTTTAGAATGTCCCCTTGCCCCCAATAAACTTAGAACGCCCCCTCGAAACTTTAGAACGCCCCACGAATGACTTAGAACGCTCCCTCTTCCCCGGGGGGGGGGGGGAAAAAAAAAGACTTAGAACGCCCCCCTCGCAGACTTAGACTCCTTTCCAAGACTTATGAACGCCCCCTCGTAAACTTTAGAGGTCCCCCTCGAAACTTAGAATTCCCTTCTCGAATACTCAGAACGCCCTCCACGAAGACGTAGAACGCCCCCTCGAAACTTGAACGCCCCCTCGACGACTTAGACGTCCCCCGCGAAACATAGAACCCCCCCGCTCGAGACTTAGAACGCCTCCTCGAAACGTATAGGCCCCCACACTCTCGAATACTTATAACGCCCACCCAACGCCCCCCTCGAAGACATAGAACTCCCCCCCGAAGACTTTGGAACGCCCCCCTTCAAGATAGAACGTCCCCGCCGAAGACTAGAACGCCCCCCTCGAAGACTTAGCACGCCCCCTCTAAGTCTTCGAATGTCCCCTTCCCCACAAGAAACTTAAAACGCCCCCCTGCGACTTAGAACGCCCCCTCGAACCTTTAGAAGCCCCCTCGAGTACTAACCATTCCCCATTCTCGAAGACGCGAACTCCGCATCCTCGAAGACGTAGAATGCCCCCCCACTCGAGACTTAGAACGCCACCCTCGAAACATAGACGCCCCCCCCCCCCCTCGAAGACTTAGAACCCCCCCTCGAAGACCTAGTCCGGCCCCCTCGAAGACAAGAACGCCCCCCGCGAAGACTTAGATCGCCCCCTCGAGCTTATAACGCCCCGCGCATGACTTAGAACGCCCACTCGAAAGACTGGAACGCCCCCTTCGAAACTTAGAACTCCCCTCTAAGACTTAGAATCCTTCCAGACTGAGAACGCCTCCTCGCTAGTCCCTTAGAATGTCCCCTTGCCCCCCACGACGACTTAGCACGGCCCCCCTGGAAGCCTTATAATGGCTCCCCCGCGAAGACTAGAACGCGCCTCCCTCGAAGACTAGACGCGCACTCCTCGAAACATTTAGAATGCCCCTCGAAGACTCGATTTCCCTTCGTCGAAGCCTCGAACGCCCTCCTCGAAGACCTTAGAAGGCCCCCCACTCGAGACTTAGAACGCCCCCCTCGAAACCTAGAACGCCCCCTCGAAGACTTGGAACGCCCCGTTAGAAGACGTAGAACGTCCCCCGCGAAGACTTAGAAACGTCCCCCTCGAAGACTTAGCAGCGCCCCCCGACAGTTGAATGCCCCCATCGAAGACATATAATCCCTTCTCAAAGACTTAGAACGCCCCCCGCCTCGAAACGTAACCGCCCCCACTCGAAGACTTAGAACGCCCCCCTCGAAGACTTAGAACGCCCCCTCTAACATTTAGAATGCCCCAGAGACTTCGAATTCCCTTCTCGCGACTTAGAACGCCCCCCCTCGAAGACTTAGAACCCCTCCTCAAGACTTAGAAATCCTTCCAAGACTTACAACGCCCCCCCGCGAACACATTTAGAAAGAATGCCCCCTCGAAACATAGAATTCCCTTCTCGAACACTTAGAAAACAAACACCCTCCTCGAAGACGTAAACGCCCCCACACAAGACTTAGAACTCCCCCTCGAAAGACTAGAACGGCCCACCTCGAAGACATAGAACGCCCACTCAAACGCAACGTGAACTCCCTCCTTCGAATACTTAGAACGCCCCCTCGAAAGACTTAAATCCTTTCCAAGACTGAAACGCCCCCTCGAACATTTAGAATGCCCCCCTCAAAGATCGAATTGCCCTTGTCCGAAGACTTATAACCGCCCTCCTCGAAGACGTGAACTCCCCCTCTCGAAGACTTAGAACGCGCTCCCTCTCGAAGACTTAGAAAATCCTTTCCAAGACTGAGAACGCCCCCTCGAACATTAATAATGCCCCCTCGAAGCATTGAGAACATTTCGAAACGCCCTCCTCGAAGGACGTAGAACGCCCCTCTCGAAGACTTAGAACGCCCCACTCGAAACTTAGAAACCTTTTCGAAGACTTAGAACGCCCCCTCGAACCTTTAGAATGCAGAATGCCCCCTCGAAACATAGAATGGCCCCCCCCCCCTCCCTCGAAGACTTAGAAGGGGCCTTCCTCGAAGACGTAGAACGCCCCCACTCGGAAAGACTTAGAACGGCCCCCTCTAAGGCATAGATTTTGCCCCCCTCGAAGACTTTGATCGCCCCCCGAAAATTAGGAGGTTGCCCCCTGCGAAGACTTAGAATCCCTTCGAGACTTACAATGGTCCCCTCCCCCTCCAAACTTAGACGCCCCCATGCCAAGACTTAGAATTAACTCCCGCCCCCCGAAGTCTTAGAACGCCACCCTCCCCGGACATAAGACATAACCGACCCCTCTCTAACGACGTTAGAACGCCCCCTCGAAGACTTGGAACGCCCCCTTCTAACGACTTAGAACGCCCCACTCAAGACATAGAACGCCCCCTCGGAGACTTCGAACGTCCCCTTCGAAGACTTTGAAACGCCCCGTCGAAGACCTTAAATCCAACAGTCGAAGATTCAATGCCCCCCCTCGAAGACTTAGAAATCCCTTTGAGACTTGAAAAGTTCCCTCCCCCCCTCGCTCCGCCCCTCGAAGACTTAGATGCCCACTCGAAACTTAGAATCCCCCCCTCCGAATATTTAGATGCCCCCTCGAAAACTTAAATCCTTTCCAATACTTAAAATTGCCCCTCGACATGTTAAGAAAGAACGCGCCCCCTCGAAAATTTAGAATGCCCGAATGCCCCCCTTCGGGAAAAAAAGATCGAAATGCCCTTCTCGAAACTTAAGAAGGCCTTCCTCGAAACGTAGAAACGACCTCGGAACCGCCCCCACTCGAAAAGACTTGAACGGCCCCCTCGAAATGCCAGATTGGCCCCCCTCTCAGACTTTGATCGCCCCCCTCAAGAATTATGTTGCCCCTCGAAGACTAAATCCCTTCGAAGACTTACAATTTCCCTCCCCTCCCCCCTCCAAGACTAGAAACGCGCCCCCTCCAAAGACCTTAGAACGCCCCTGAAGTCTTAGAACCGGAACGAACGAGAGAAAGAAACTCCCCCCTCCAAACTTAGAACGCCCCCCTTCTAATAACTTAGAAAACCGAAAACCGGTGCCCTTCCTCTCCTCTCAGAAAACTTAGAATCCGTCCAAGACTTACATTACCCCAACGCCCCCTCGAACATTTAGAAGCCCCTCTAAGACAGAGAATTCCCTCCCGAAGACTTAGAACAAACACCCTCCTCTAAGACTAAGAACCCCCACCGACGACTAGCCGCCCCCCCCCCTCGAGACTTAGACGGCCCCCTCGGACATAGAACGCCCACTCGAACACTTGGAAAACTCCCCCTTCCGAAGCTTAGAACGCCCCCTCGATACTTAGAATCCTTCTTTCCAAACTGAGAACGCCCCCTCGAACATTTAGAATGCCCCCTCGAAGACTTCAATTCCCTTCTCGAGACGTAGAACTACGCCCTCCTCCCTCTACGACGCAGAACGCCCCCCGAAAGACTCATAACCCCCCTCGAAGACTTAGAATCCTTTCCACGCTGAGACGCCCCCTCGAACATTTAGATGGCCCCCTCGAACATTTAAACATTTAAACCGCCCTCCTCGCAGACGGTAGAACGACCCCTCTCGAGACTTAGAACGCCACTCGAAGCCTAGAAGCTTTCGAGACTTAGAACGCCCCCTCGAACATTTGAATGCCCGCGCTCGAAGACATAGAATGCCCTTCTCGAAGACTTAGCAGCCTCTTCCTTCGAAGACGGTAGAACGCCCCCACTTCGACAAGACTTAAACGGCCCACCCCTCGAAGGCATAGATATTGCCCCCCTTCGAAGACGTTGAATGATCGCCCAAGACTGTGAGAATCGCCCCCATCGCCCCCTCGAAGAATTAGGTTTTGCCCCCTCGAAGACTAGAACCTCGAAGACTTTACAATGTCCCCTCCCCCCTCCAAGACTTAGACCCCCCTCCGAGACTTGAAACGCGCCCCCCGAAGTCTTAGAACGTCCAACCCTCCAGACTTTAGAAAACCGACCCGCTCGAGAACTTAGAACGCCCCCCTCGAAACTTGGAACGCCCCCTTCGAAGGACTTAGAAAAAACCCCCACCGCAGACATAGAACGCGAGAACGCCGCGCACGATAGAACCGCGACGCCCCCTCGGAGACTTCGAACGCCCCCCTTCGAACTACTTTGAACGCCCCCCCCCCCTTCGAAGACTTAGAAGAACTACAACAGTCGAAGATTCAGAATGCCTCCTCGAAGACTTAGAAAACCCTTGACGACTTAGAATGTCCCCCTCCTCCCCCTCGAAGACCTTAGAATGGCCCCACTCGAAGACTTTAGAATGTGCCAGAATGCCCCCCCCCCTCGACGATTTAGAATTGCCCCCGCTCGAAACTTAGAATCCTTTCAAGACTTAAATTGCCCCTCGCCATTTAGAACCGCCCCTCGAAAATTTAAATGCCCCCTCGAAGACTTAGAATTCCCTTCTCGAAGACTTTGATGCCCTCCTCGAAACTTAGACGCTCCCTCCAAGACTTAAACGCCTCCCCCTAAGACTTAGAACGCCCCCACCCGAAGACATAGAACGCCTTCCTCGAAGACTAAGAACGCCCCCCTCGAAAGACTAATCTGCCCCCCTTCGAAGACTTAGAACGGCACCCTCGAAGACATAAACGCCCACCCTCGAAGGACTTAATCCGCCCCTTCGAAGACGTAGAACCCCCGCTTGAGACCTAGAACGCGAACGCCCCCTCTAAGACCTTAAAACGCCCACGCCCCCCTTCGAATGACTTAGAACGCCCCCCGCGAAGACTTAACGCCCCCTCGCGACCTTAGAATCCTTTCCAAACTTAGAACCTGCCCCCCTCGAACATTTAGAATGCCCCTCGAAGAACGTTCCTCACGACTTAGAACGGCCCTCCTCGAAGACGTAGAACGCTCCCCCCCTCCAAACTTAGACGCTCCCCCCGAAGACTTAAACGCCCCCCCGAAGACATGACGCCTTCCTCGAAGCCGTAGAAGGCCCCCACTCGAAGACCTTAGAACGCCGCCCTCCTTAGAGAAAACGCCCCCCGAACGCCCGCCCTCGAAGACTATAAAATATACGCTCCCCTCGAGATTGGAACGCCCCGTTCTAAGACTTAGAACGTCCCCGCGCAGCCTTAGAACGTCCCCTCGAGACTTAGCAACGCCCCCTCGACATTGTAGAATGCCCCTCGAAGACATAGATTCCCTTCTCAAAGCTTAGACGCCCTCCTCGCATACGGAAACGCTCCCTCCAAGACTTAGAACGCCCTCCCCGACGACTAGAACGCCCCACAACGCCCCCCGCGAAGACATAGACGCCTTCCCTCGAAGCCTAAGAACGCCCCCCTCGAATACTTAGAACCCCCCTTCGAAGACTTATAAGGACCAACCCGCGAGACATAGAATGCCCCCCCTCGAAACATAGATTCCCCCCTCGAGACGTAGAAACGCCCCGCTTGATGACTAGAACGCCCCCTCCTCCTAAGACGTAAAAAAAAAAAAACCCCCCTTTCGAG